AAAAAAAAAAAAAAAAAGAAATACTATAGATTGGGTAGCTTAAACAACAGGAGTCTGTTTCTTTGCAGTTTTGGAGGCTAGAAGTGTGAGATCAAGATGCCACCAGGGTTCATTTCCGGTGAGGCCTCTCCTAGTGGCTTTGCAGACAGCTGCCTTTTATGTACCTCCTGGGGCTTTTTCTCTGTGTTGTGTGCAGAAGGGCCCTGTGGTGTCTTCTCATTTTCTTACAAGAACAACAATCCTATTGGGTTAGGGCCCCAGCCCTATGACCTCATTTAACCTTAATTACTTCCCTAATGGTCCTATCTCCAAATACACTCATGTTGGGGGTTGGGGCTTCAACATAGGATTTAGGAGGTCATAAGTCAGTCCATAACAGGGCCGTTGGCCATTGTGTTATACCTACAGTATATGTGGGGATGCATGGCCTGACAGCTGAATGAGGGGGGTATAGCTGAAGGGGGTACTAGGACACCTTATAGGGTAGGGAACCTTATGAAGACACTAAAGTGGTCTGTGACCATGCTGCTGTGCTGTTCATCCCTAGAGATGGAAAACCATCTGCCCGCATGTTGCTGCTGAAAGGTTTTGGCAAAGATGGCTTCCGCTTCTTCACTAACTTCGAGAGTCGAAAAGGAAAAGAGCTGGTGAGGGTTTGCAGCAATCCTTCCTGGGACCTGAGGGCCCAACCCTTGCCACTTCATGCCTCAGGCTACCAGCTTTCTGAGCGGGCACCCTCCTGCCTCAATGCCTATCTGTGCACTTGCCCGTGGTCTTTACCTTGAATGAACAAATATTCTTTCTTACCTGTGCCACCCTGTCAGCCATCTAAAAGATACTTAGTGATTCCTTCAGGCCACAGCCCACATGTTACCTCTCCACCTTGACTCTTAATGCTGTGTCAGCTCTGGTGCTATTTGGTGTCATTATAACTTGCAACTTTTCCTTTTTACTTTTTTTTTTTTTTTTTTTTTTGGTTTGTAACTGTGTGTTTACTCATGTGATTATGTTTGTCTCTTCTGCTGAACAGTAACCTCTGTGGAAGTAGAGGCTGCACCTATACCCCTTGTGCTTCTCCTGGTGTCAGACCCAGAGTTGTCACTTTCTTGTTTGTTTGTTTGGGTTTTTTTTTTTTTTTGGAGACAGAGTCTCACTATGTCACCCTTGGTAGAATGCCATGGTGTCAACAGCTTAAAGTAATCTCCAACTCTTGGGTTTAAGTAATTCTTTTGCCTCAGCCTCCCAAGTAGCTGGGACTACAGGCGCCCACCACAATGCCTGGCTGTTTTTTAATTGCAGTTGTCCTGAGTCCATGACAGCTGAACATGCATTTATCAGGACTTGATAATCTAAGGGTGGGAGAAATGGCTAAGCCTCAGTTTGGTGTCAGACTGGCTTAAATCCAGCTCTACCACTTTCTGTGACCTTGAACATGTTACTTAGCCTCTCTGAGCCTGTCTCCACTTCTGTGACAGGTTTGCCTTTGAGGTTTGAATGAGATATTATAGTGAGTACATCTGCTATGGGCTCACATGCTGCAGATTTCATGCCTTCCCCCTGCATGCTGGAGGCATCCTCTCCCGTTCCTAATGACTGTGGATTCTCTTTCATTTCCAGGACTCTAATCCCTTTGCTTCCCTTGTCTTCTACTGGGAGCCCCTTAACCGTCAGGTGAGTGAACTTTCCCAGGACAAGCTGGGGTGGACTGGGTTTACAGGGCCTGAGGTTATGAGTGAGTCTAGTAAGGTTTGCAGTCTGGGCAAGCATCCAACATGGGCACTCTGCCCCCCAAATAGCTCTCAGTTAGCCTGTCTATTTGGAGCCAGGAGGGCTAAAGCAGTTGATAGAAGAACTGAGAGGAACCGGGCCTGTGCTGTGAGGGGAGGGGGCATTGGACACCATTCAACCAGGGCCTTCCCTGAGCAGGTGCGTGTGGAAGGCCCTGTGAAGAAGCTGCCCGAGGAGGAAGCTGCAAGCTACTTCCACTCTCGCCCCAAGAGCAGCCAGATTGGGGCTGTGGTCAGCCACCAGAGTTCTGTGATCCCTGATCGGGAGGTGAGTGGGGCTCCTCTGTAGTCCTCCAGGTGTCAGGGGCCATGGCTCATCCCCAGATGCTGTTCCCAGGGGATGTCAGGGCATGCTCTAACCAGCAAAGTGGAAAATGTGAAAAGGGCCATCTTCTTGGAGGAGGTGGGCATGGGCAGTGGAGAAATATGCCTTCTATCTGAGCCTCCTCTGACTGCTCCTAGGGAACAGAGGCTAGTCTGCCTTGCTCACCTGTGTCTCTAAGACTTGCCCCAGTGCACATGCTCAGTATAAATAAATCCTTTTTAAATGAATTATTGACTGAGCCTGGCCTTTCCTCTATCTCCTTCCCCTGCACAGTATCTGAGAAAGAAAAACGAGGAACTGGAGCAGCTCTACCAAGATCAAGAAGTGCCTAAGCCAAAATACTGGTGAGTGATACTTGGTAGTTGTCTAGAAAGGAACACCAGGACCCCCATGTTTACCTGAAGCTACCCTGTCTGTGAATTACTTATTTGCTCATCCTCCCGGTCCTCATCAGATACATCCCAGCAACTTCCTTCAAGAGACCCTGGGATGAAGGAGGAGGGATGGGGATGGGAGACTAGCCTGGCTGGAAAAATCCACAGAGTGCTAAAACCTCTCCTTCTTGCAGGGGTGGCTACATCCTGTACCCACAGGTGATGGAGTTCTGGCAAGGCCAGACCAACCGCCTGCATGACCGCATTGTCTTTCGGAGGGGCCTCTCAATAGGAGATTCCCCTTTGGGGCCAATGACTCACCGTGGGGAGGAAGACTGGCTCTATGAGAGACTTGCACCTTGACTCTGGATCTGCCAGGTGCTGAGGTCAGGTGCTGAGAGGGTGTGAGATTGGGAACCAGGCCCTTCTACACTCAACCCATTTCCCTCCTCACCCTATAGTTAACTCTGCAGAGCACATCCTCCAAGGTGTCTGTACTTAGTTGGCTCTCAGTTAGCTGATCAAATGGAGTGTAACAGTGTCACAGAGAATCACAAATGGGAAATAATCCCATAATTATTTTCTTAAAGTTGCACATGATTTATTGGAATAGCTCCCTCTAGGGGTAGCAGCTGGTGTATAGGCATCACCAGCTGTTACCATGTCAGCCATGGTAGCCAAAGCTGATTGGTTCCTTTGTAGGTACCTGCCGCCATCTAGCCAATCAGATTGTCTTATTGATAATTTGAAATTTGGCCAATGGATGGTTCACACCTACAAACCCAGCATTTTTAGAGGCTCAGGCAGTAGGATTCGTGGAGTGTAGGAGTTCAAGACCAGCCTAGGCAGCAAGACCAGCCTAGGCAGCATACCCTGTCTCTAAAAAAAAAAAAATTGGAATTTGAAATGCAGAGATCCAAATCCTTGTGAGTCATTATAGCCAAGTCATTAATGTCAACCAAGAAGCAACAGCCTCTGGCTGCTGCTGTTGCAATTCCCTGAACCACCCTGATTCCCTCCTTCCCAAGTCTGTGTTGTGCAATCCTCTTCTTGCCTCAAAACACACCCCACTATCTCTGTAAACTTTATTTTTTTTTTGACTTAAACTAGCTGAAATTGATTTCTGTTGTTTGCAGCTAAAAGAACTTTAACTCACTTACTAATAGGATGTTTTATAGCACTTCCCCAGATTGCTGCCTTCCATTGTTTGAAGCACAGCATTGTGGAAAAGAGATTAAATTTATTCTCTGTAGCTTTACGGGACCCATCAGTAAAAGTTGCCGGAAGTAGTTTTCATCTCAATATGGGGAGAGATTTCAAACAGTCAGACCTG